TCACCCGTATGATAGAACTTGCCCGAGAAGCCCAGGTTGAAGGTGAAGTTGGGGACTAAGGTCCTGAGTTTGTTCTGAGTGTTTAACAGGGCCTGGGAAGGGTAGGAGTGACATAAGAAATCAGGAGAGAGCAGACTGTGTGGGAGAAAAATGCAAAGTAGTACTTTTCCTGCCTGGAAAGGACAGGGGATATACTTATGACAAGCTCAGAATCAAGGGAGTCTGATAGGACAAAGCCTGAAACAGTTTCTAATGAAAGCAATGTGAGTGAGGAAAAACAAACACTGACCTCAACATCAGCCACCTTCATGCGGGTACCTTCCTTGCCCACAAAGATGTCATCGATGTCTACCAAGATGTAGCGGTCAAGGTCCAGGCAGAGGCGCTTACCAGTGAGATACGCAACAGCATCAACAAAGACAAGTTTGTGGAGCCAGAAGGAAAGGCCATGGCCAAAGAGCACCCGCTGGATGCCATCATGCAACCCCAGGTCCTGTACCACAGTGGGAAGTCGGGCACGGTGAGGTACTGGTCCTAGCACAGGGAGCTCAGCTGGCCGGAGGCTGGCAAGAAGCACTGCTTCATATGTGCTGTGATTAGACTGGAAGATGGTCCAGTCATCACCAGGCAGTGATCCAGGCTCCAGGCGGCTGGGGCGTGTGAGATGCAGTAGCGGGGCAGAAGGGTTAACTTGGTAGTCTCGGAGCCCCAAGTTTGAGTGTAGAAAAAGGGGAAAGCCCTTGAGCTGGGCACTCAGTAAGCTGTGCTCATGGGCTCTGAAAAAGCCAATGATGCCCACACCATACTCCACGCAGTACCGGTCTAGCAGCTCCCGACTCCAGGCATCCAGGTTGACATACTTGAGCAGGTTCTCATAAATGACCAAGACATAGCGGCCATGGGTATGATCAGTAAGTGTGGGCATGTCCCCTCGGCCAGGTGCCAGCTCAGTGCTGTATCGAAAACGACTAGACTCCAAGATGGCCACAATTTCCTGCCCTAGCTGTGAGTATGTACTCTCCACAAACACAAGGACCACGGGTTCAGTTCGAGCTGTCTCTGGAGGCCTGGGGGGCCGGGGTGGGACTGGAGGCCGTCCAGGGCCAGGGCCAGCTGCTCCACCACTGCTGCAGTCTCCCAACGGCAAGGGCAAAGGTTCCTTGGCCTTGGGGCTGGTAGACACATAGTAAGCCAGGAAGCCCATGGAGCCCAGACTGAAAGCGATGAGCAGCAGTATAAGGCGGTGCAGTTCCAGCTGCCGAGCTGGGCGTACCACCTTCCACAGCTGAAGCATGGCGGGGGAGGGGAGGCAGGAAATGGGACCACCTCAGGGGATGGGAGGTAGTAATTCTATAAGCTGAGGCTCTCTCAGACGTTGGAAGGCTGGAAAAATAGAGGAAAGAGATTCCCTCAGGTCAGTTCCCTGAAGAGGTGGAGAAGGTCCCCTTAGTATAAGACAGGAGAGAGAGAAGGGGCAGCACAGGGCAACTGGACAGAGTCCATAGGTCTCAGGTCACCATGGCCCCCTGGCCCATGGCTCCAGGCTGCAAATCTGGCCAGGCTCCACCCTAGGGCCCTGGCTGAGTTCCTCACATCAGAAGTCAGCAAAGTTCACAATCTCTGCCCCCACTATCTGAAAGACAGATAAATTGATGGGTTACTTCTCCCCTTGAAACTCTACCTTTAATCTATTTCCCTCCTCACCCCATTTCTCTTACCTCCTGCTTACTGGATGATTTGTTCTCCAAAAACAAGCTCCTGTAGAAGAACACAACTGAACTTCATACCTTTGTTTCATAGCTCATTTCTGTTCTTAAAATACTATCCAAATTCTCCTCCCTGAGCTAAGCTCAGAGTTGGAGCAAATATACTTAAGGGCTAGAAGAGGACAAACCTCCCATCAACAAGCAGCCAAACAGCCTAGGAAGCTGAAAATGAAATTGTTCTGAAAGAAGTACCCAGCCCCTGAGCAAGCTGGTCAGTCAGTAGGGGCTTTGGTCTTTCTGTGAGGAAGGGATGGAAAGCCCCAAAAGTCCCATGCTCCAATGTAATATCAGATAAGAGGAACTCATGAGCCTGTTAATCTTCCCTTATCAATCAATCTCAATATCATAGCCTAACAGCACTAACGAATTTGCAGTCAGGTGGACACTCTCATGAGGGAGTTCACAGGAAAGACAGTTGCTGCTAGATAATCATTCTATTAGTTTCCAAACTTAGAACTTACAGACTCTGTTTTCTACTGCTTGTGAAAAATTACCCATCCTTTGCCCTTTACCTGGAGCCTTGCTGGAGCAGTGGTTAAGTGCTCAGCTCTTAACAGAAAGGTTAGTGGTTTGAACCCACTAGTGGCTCCTTGGGAGAAAGATGTGGCAGTCGGCTTCTGTAAATATTACAGACTTGGAAATCTGGTCGGGCAGTTCTACTCTGTCCTACAGGATCCCTATGAGTTGGAAATGACTCAAAAGCAATGGTTTTTTTTTTTTTTTTGCCTTTTACCTCACCTATGAGAAGAGATAAAAATGTAGCCCAGAGTAGGTCACAACACTGGGACTTGAGAAAAGCCAGAGAACTAACTCCAGAGTCCCTTTCCCTGCCCACTCCAGTTCTCTTTCCTAACCTAGCCTAGGTGGTAAAGTAAAACTTGTGAGAGCAGGAACTCGGTGGGACTGCCTTGTTTTTCCAGTTTCACACATCTGCCTTTGACAAGGTACAGTCTTACCACTTTTCTATCGTTCCTTTTAGTGGACCTTACACAGGTTCTAGCTTTTGCAGGTTTTACTGTGTTACGATCCCATTCCTGAGCAGCTCAGAAGGGTCTCTGAGGTAGCTTAGAGAGACATGAGGGATTCAGAGTCCTGTTATAAAAACAGAGTAGAGTGAGTGGGGCTGGATGACAAAGAGCAAAAGAAACTTAAGTCATATCTAACTAACAAGAGGAATAAGGATAACACAGTCAGAATATAGTTTTAAGAAGACCTAATTTTGGGAACTTTTTTCTTATTTTTCTTAGACTGCTTTATTGCCACTTTCCCCACCTTAGTCACTCCTAGTCAGGTCAGTCGCTCGCAATCCTGCTCTATCACTCTATACATCTCCAGGGTGATTAAGCAGAGCCAAGGTCCTTCAGAATTGAGATGAATGATTTAAGCAAGTTCAGCTTTAGCCTACGTATGACTAACTGACATGAGAAGAGAACTGGGAGAGAGGATGAAAATAGTGATGGGAAGGGATGAAGGCTAAGAATGAACGAAACCCTTTAGGGAAGACTTGGTTGTAAGTGGATACTTAAGACAGATCATTTGTATTGTTAATATTAAACTTTCTTTTGAGAGCATATTACTTGCCACTCTTGTAAGAACTGTACATATATTTAGTGTAACATTCCAGATCTACGGGATTAGAACTACGATTAATATTCCCATTTTACATGAGTAATTTGAAGCCCAGAGAAGCTTAGTAACTTGCCCAGAATCACAGAGCTTTCCAGTCAGTAGAGAAACTGAGATTCAAAGTCGTGCCTGTCAGGTTCCAAAGCCATGCTCTTCATCACTGCATTTTAGCTTCATATCTAGAAAAAGCAGCAGTATTTAGGGAAGGGGTGCTGAGAGAGCTATTAGGGTAGGATGAGTGTTAGCTATAGCTATTAGGGTGGGATGATAAATAGTGAAGGAAGAAAACTGAGGTGGGGGACTACACATTTGTGCGGTGGGAGGTTTCCGAGGAGGGAGGCAGACACCAAATGGGGTCACCCCGGCCTGGGCTGGGAGAGAGCAACACTAATACGAACTAGGTGATGACTGGGTGTGGGCAGTGCGCTAGGCGGGGTACAGAGGGGAGAAATGGGCATGAGGGGCTCCCACAGAGGGGCTCGCACAGCTGGAATCACTGATGGAGGAGCTCTGTTGAGAGGGTATATGGGGGTCACAAGTGGATATGAAGAGGGCATCGGATGTGGGGCAATAAAGGGGCGCACTAAGGAAAGTCTGGGGTGACATCCAAGCAGGCACCAGGCTAGGAGAGCCCCGAGGAGAGGATGGAGCCCCGTACTGACCGGGCGAGCTGAGGGGCATGAGGCAGCTACGAGGGAGGCTAGTGGAAAGACACTGGGCGAGGGGCGCACTGGCCCGCACTGAGGGGTCGCCCGGGCAACACTGAAGGTGGTTGTGGTGGCAATACACTGAGGGGGAAGCCTCTGAAGGGAGAAACTGAGGGCGTCTGTGGGTGGGGGCCACACTCTGAGTGTGGAGCTTTCCTCAAGGGCGGCTCACCCGGAGGACTGGGCGGCGTCCCCGCTGTCCCCGGGCTCCGCCGCGTCCCGGGGCTGCCCGGCTTCCCGGCTCTCGGGGGCTCCAGCCGCGACGCGGCGGCTCCGCCATCTCCGAGCGAACGTTCTACCGCAGCCGGGCCCAACCACCGCTCCCACAGGGGGGGGAGGCGGCGCGCTGCCGATCACAGCACCCGCTCAGTTCCTTGTCCGCCCCGAGGCTGGCAGTCGCGTGGCCGAGGCGCCGGGGAGCCGAACGGTCCTCCGCAGCACTCAGCCTAGCCGCAGCCTCCTGGATGGCGGGCTCCACGCCCAGCCCGCAGGAGCGCGTCCCCCTTACCCGCCGGGTGGCACAGTCTGTCCAGCGTTGGCGCCCCAGCTCCGGGTACAGGGGCGGGCCCAGGGTATGGGCTCGTCCATTCAACCCTGCGGAGGGGGAGCCGGGCCTGCCCACTGAGCTGCGAGGGGGGCGGGGGCGGGTCCTGACAGCGGGCGGGGCCCAGAGGCGGGGTGAGACCCCATACTCCACCTCTTAATGGGCTACATCCTTCCTTCCCACCCCAAACTAGTCTCAGCAGCTAAGAGGAGGGGTTGGAGGCTAAAGAATTTATGAGGGTATTTTATCCTACAAAGAAACTTGGAGAAAGCACATCACTTCATGTTGAAGCCTTGTAATCCAGGCTGCTAGAATCTAAGGCCCTGGCCATTCGCCTCCAACAGTAGTAACACAATGGACTGTTTAAAGGTTATTTTATTAAATATCTTCAGTTCAAGGTTTCATTGTAACAAAGCTATGAAGGGTCTACCAACATTCAGAACAAACACTATTTTTAAATTATTTCTATGTCATCATGCAAAAATTCTGCATCAAATGCCTCCCATTTCCTGTTTAAAAGGTGATTTTTTTTTTTTTTTAAGTAGTCTATTGTCTATAGATGCTGACATTAGCCCCAGAAGAGGAGGAAGAATGCTAAGGAGAAGTGGGGCTGGAGCAGCCATATGAAGCTATGGGTCTCAATGAACTCTAAGACCATTCGTCTTCAAGCCAGCAAAACCAAACTTGGTGGTGAAGGTGTCTGCGTGCTGGCACTGCAGGCTGCTGAGCAGGAAAGGGACAGGGCCCAGGGGCTGGGGCATGCATGAGGTGCTCGGAGAAGCCTGGCCAAATCCAAGCACCAGCGTCTGTGAGTCTGCTCTGGTCTCAGCTGGCTCCAAGGTAAACCCGTAGCTTTGCCTCTTCCCCCTGTTCCTGTACCTCCTGGAGGTAGTCCAGGGAGCTGGGGTCTACCTACCTTTTCCCCCAAAGTGCAGATATTTGTGCAGACAACTTTGAACAGCTGATTTGGGGAAACCAAAGCCATGACCAATTGCTCCTCCATTCTCTTCTCTGCTATCTGCTTAGAGCACAGATCTTTCTCTCTTGGAATGGAACTCTTTGAGCACAGAGAGGGGCAATGAATGTAGGGGCCATGGCTCTGGACACCTCTTTTGAGGACATGCAAGTAGGAGTGGGGTGATGCCCATGCAGATTGTCCAGCATTAAGTCTATGCTTTAGTTGGTCAGTAAAGAGGCCTCTTTAAAGAGGACACCTGTTCTTCTTGATAGAGTAGTCAGGTCAATCTCAGACAGGAACGGAGATGGACGTGCAGCAAGGGAAGAGTAAAAGGGAGGCAGGCCCTGAGGGCAGCCTGAATGCATAGAAACAACTGCCACCTCTAATCCCACTGCCTCACTCTTCCTAACCCACAGGGGCACTTGGCAGAGGGCCCAGGTCCAAATGAGAATCAGTACTGGGACCACCATCATGAAAAGGCAAGACAAAGATGGTCCAAGTCAGCACAGAAACAGAACTGCCAAACGTGGCAAGGAGACACCCGGCCAGGGCCTGGCTCTTTCCTTGCTAAGTTATAAGAAAACAAACAGGAAGCAAAGCGGCAACCCCTCCCCCTTCCCTGCAAGGGTTCAGGCCTCAATATCACGGCCCACGTGCATTGTGCATCCTATAGAAATGGATGAGTAAGTGAGCATGTCAGACTAACACGAGGTTTCTCATTGGCTTTGTCTCAAACACACTTCTGCAGCACCAATTCTCTTCCCTTGTACACTACATGGAACAGTACAGCAAACGTCCGGGCCCTCAGTCCTGAGGCCACTGCATCTCAGCTGCCTCCATAGCAGGCTGGGAGCTCTGCGTTCTCTCCCACGCAGGTCTGACAGCCACGATGTTCTCATCAGCCTCGTTCTAGGCACCCATGCAAGTTCTGAAGAAGTCCATTCCCACACCTGGAGCAGGCAGGCCCCTTCCAGGGATGAAATCACATCATGGCCCCGAAGCTCTGTCAGAGTTCTTGCCTGGTCCCCCTGAGTCCTTAGGGGCCAGAGGCTGAGCTCCTCTTCTGGGCTGGTGGGTAAGCCCAGTGCTCATGCCAGGGTAGGCGTCACACAAACTCCTGCCTTCATGCCAGCCCAAGGGCTATCGGTGGTTTTAAAACGCATCATGGTACGGATTCCATTTTTTTTTAAACAATCTTTTTTCTTTTTTTTTTCTTAAATGTAAAAAACACCTCGGTACAGCAGAGACAGACACGAAGGGCGGGCGGGAGGGCTGCATGCAGGGGCGTGCATTGGCTGCTGCCGCTTTGTAATTTAATTGTTTTAAACCTCAAACGAACAGGACTGCCGCTGTCACTCAGGCCCTCCAGAGCCACTGGCTGCGAAGGTTCGACCTCCAGCTGGGATCTCCTAATGCCCCTGTCAAACAGGACAGAACGTGGTAATAGAACAGAGGATGTTGAGCACGCAGAGGAGTTCCAGGGACACTGCACTCTTGGCCAAGTCTGCCTGACTAGGTGGGGGGTGGGGAGAAGCTAACATTTAAATATAACATTGCCTCACCTTTGCTGAGCACTTACTAAGTGCTTTACGGTATCTTATTTAATCCTCACAATCACTCAGTGAAGTAGGCACCACTCTTAGCCTCATCTCAAGCAGAGGAAACTGAGGCTTAGGGAGGGGAATAATGTCACTCAATTTGGCGTCATGAAGAGGGTCCCAAGTCTGTCTGACCATACTGCCCAAATCCCACAGGATAGCCCACACTTCCTCCCCCATGCCCCTGCCCACCCTCCTCTTTCTCCTCTGATCCCATCTGTCCAGCCCTGCCCCCAGGTGCACCTGTGGCTGAGCTCACTGCAGCGGTGCGGCAGGGGCCCCTGAGCAGTGATAGTGGACATTGAGCCACTTGCCATCCCGGCGGTGCCAGACCCGAGTCTCCTCCGACTGGCTGGTGCGAGGCCGGCCCTGCCCATCGATGTACTGGGTGAGGCGGATGTAGGCGATGCAAGCAGCATCCTCCCCGATTACGTGAACGTGCGGGTTCAGGATGGTGGTATGGATGGGCTTGCTGTTCTTGGAGAGGACTGCAGGGGGCAGGGCAGGATAGGGTAGGTAGGAGGGGCATCAGGCATGGGACCTGCATCTTCTTCCCAACCCACACTTCCAAGTCTCACCCTCTCCCCAACAACCATTCCTAGAGCCTCCAAGCCCTCCCCATACATGCTATAGAGGCTGGACACCTCATCACATTGGTCTCCAAATTAATGCAAAAGGAAGAAAAAGGTGGTGACAATAATGGCAGTGTCTACTATTTTAATTAGGCATTGTGCTGGGGTTGCACATGCGTGAGCTGTAGCCGTTGGTCGGTATTTTCTTCATTATAAGATAAGGAAACAGGCTCAAGGAGGTTAAATAATTAGCCCAAATCACAAAGGACCATCTGACCCTAACTAACTTCTAGTCTGCCAGGTAGATGCTTAGATTTTGTAAAGGTTGGTTTGCCTCTAATTAGGGCTACACAGCAAAATCATGAACTTATTAAAAATTGACTTGTGATTTTTTAAAAAAAGCATCAAAGTTAAAGTTAAAATAGTCAAGAGTCACCAAAACATCAAGCTCAGGATATTCCCAGGGTTCCCAGGATTTTCTGGGGGAAAGGCAAAAGAAGTTGGATTGCTGTTATCAGAATGTGTTGTGCAAATGGTGTTCCTTTTATTGAGATTCACATTTTAGTTCAAGTGTTAAGACAGAGACTACACGAAATGTTCCTAGAGCTTCTATATGCTCTGGAATTGCTTCTGCTAATAGAATTACTCAGGGAGCCTAGAGCTTCCATGTGCAGCTGAGACATAGGGGGGATTGTCAGTGGAAAAAACAGAGATAAAATAAAACTCAGGGCAGGATAGGGAAGGCCCAAGAAAAAGATGAAATAAATAAATAAATAAGGAAGGGGAGGGTGTTGGAGAGAAGAGAGAAAGATGGGTGATGGTGGCAGGGGTGGAGGCAAGGATTCAGCTTCCTCTTATCCCTGGGGCTTCTAAGAACTGTCCAGAGTGCCTCTCCCCCATTCTAAGACTCCTGTATCCCTCAATATTCAGGGGGATCCTAGCCACAACTTCCAAGCTCAAAAATCACCTCCAGGGCCCTGTTACTTGCTTACACATTCTTATCCTGGTTTTAATTTCCTCTATTAGGCAACCTGCAGACACAGAGCTTCATTATTACTTGCTGAGATCATCTCAACCTAATCTCAAATGATTTCCAATCCTTCTTGGGAAGACATGAGGCTTAAAGAAATCCAGTGAACCTGATTGTGGTGGCTGCCCTGCCGTGAGGCAGCTGCAAACTCTGCCAGCTTCAGTGGGCACACAGGACTCTGGAGCTGTGCCTTTGAAAGGGCTAGTTTAAGACCACTGTCAGAGCACAGGAAGTAAGCACACAGACTAGGGGTGCAACAGGCAGGTGAAATAAGGAAATAAAGCAGGCAACTGGGAAGAGGAGAAGGTGAATGGGGACAGAGGCAAAGGGGGAGAAGAGGCAGGCAGGAGTATATCAGCAGCACGAACCCACTCACGATTCTCAAAGTAAAACTTATGGAAATCCATCCCTTCCACCAGGTTGCCAAGGGCCTCGGGCTCAAAGGAAGTGAGACCAGGATCACAAATCTTTCTGCAGGAAAAAAGCAGCTGGTCAAGCTCCTATGGAAGTTACTTATCTTCCTTCCTTGTCAGTGGCATTTGTCCCACAGCTGCATATTAGCTGTGTGCCAGGCTGGACAAGATAGCCAAGGTCTTAGGGGCCTATCTGCTGGCCGCTCAGCCCAGTCCTTTCTGCTCACAGCCAGGACACCAGGGGCAAGCTCAATCATAGTTTCTACCAGGAAGTGCTCCCAGTGTTTAACTCAGACACCTTATGCCCAAAGTCCAGCTTCTCTTCTCCTAGGGTCCTAGCTACTTTCTGGGAGCAAGGAAGGCCTTGAGAGAGAACTTAGATCTTAAGGAAATGGATCTCTACTCACGTGTAGGCCTCAAAGTCCCCATTGTTGATGGCCTCAATCAGCTGTTCTGTGATCTTAATGATCTCCTGTTTTCGCACTGTGGGGAAAAAAATCCAGCAATTTACCTGCATGGAACTGGGGAAGCTCCCAAGGGTCGGAGAACCTGCCCCAGTCCTTCAAACAGTTCCTTGTGATCCCTTTGACAAGACATTCCTCTTCTCTGTCTTTAAGGCCCTTTGCAGAAGAGTGAGCCCAACTTTCTCTCCATCCTCATCTTGCTGGTGTCATCACAGCCAACATTCATTCTCTGGCCTTCACCTACCTCTCCATCAACAACCAGGTCTCAGCCAACACTTCTGTCTCTAACAGCTGAGAGGCCTGGCATGTCATGAACACACGACCCAGGGCCTCATAGTGCATCCTTAGCAGGCTCAGCATCTCTAAGAAGCTGTTTCTACCACCCACTTACTTCTCTCACCCGAACGGGCTCAGTCAGGTCTCAGTCACAGCCTCCTATCTAGCCTTCACTCAGTGGTCCAAAACCCAGCTAGGGATGAGGGCTCCGAAAGAAGGAGCAGAGCCCTAGGGTGGATGCTGCATTCTCTTCACTCTACCTATCTCTAGGACTTTCCTGCGATTACAGATCTTAGAACTATAAAAACTCTTCTCTTGACATCCTCTCCCTAGAGAGATGGCTCAGTTTATCCCGGACAAGCTTTGGCAAAGCTATAAATCTCACACCAGCTCTCATACCAGGACATGTCCCTCAGGAAACCAAGGCTCAGACTGACAGGTAGCGTTGGGGTGCCCAAAGAGTCCTCTGCCCCTTCCCAAGCCAAGGGGCTGCTGGTGACATCCTGCACTCATGGACAGCTCACTTACAAGGAGTACCACTATTAGCACAAGGCACCATCAGGGTAAGGAAGCGCTCGGCCTGAGCTTGGGCTAACCCTGACCGCAGCCCCAGGCTGGCCCAGGAAACAAGCCTTTCCTCACAGGAGCAAGAGGCTGCAAGATAAATGCAAGCATTAGAACAGCACCACCACGGCAAGGCCGGGCCTGCACAGCCAAGGAGTACAGCCGGGAAGGGGGAGAGCAGCCAAAGATACAGCCATCGGCACCATCAGGTGGCAGTTCCAGGTAAGTAAACAGCAGGTTAGGGGAAACTATAAGCTCCATCCACACTCTACAGGGGAAAGCTGGTGTGTATACACACCCCCTCCACACACACGAACATATACACACATGTCCCTCTCCAATCCCACCAAACTCATCTGGAGGGCTTGACTGGGCCCCTATGGGTGAAGAGGATTGTCTTAGAAACTCTGAAAGGATCAATGGTGGCAGGAAAAGCAGCACACAAAGGCATCCTCTATACTGACATAACTAAAAATCTAAGTGAGAACTACCATTACTCCAACAAGGCATCTATTTCCAACTACGTCATTGATTTTCCATCACAATGTCAGTAAGTAGGTACATTTTATTCACTTTACAGATGAGGAAACTGCAGCTCTGGGAAGTGAAGCTAGGTCACACACTTTTACAGGTAGTGTGGCTGATATTTGAATTCAGGTCTGTCTCATCCCAAACCCCATGCTCTTAATCATGATATTATGCTGAGCCTCAGGAAACACTTCCCAGTTTTCTCTGCTCTCAAAATCTCACCAATGCACTCCCCCCACCTCTCCCAGGACCTGACTTTTGACTCCGCCCTTCTTCCTGGCTCAGTGCTGGGGCAAGGCTCCTGGCATTTCCCAGTGGCTTTCCACTCCCTCCCTCCATGCCATGTTCTTCCACCCACTCTGCTTCTGTTTTTTGGACCCCAGTCTCAGGGGCCACTGGTCAATCTGCCCCCCACCTAGGATTAACAGTGTCTCCAAACAGCTCCCCCACCCCTAGCAGAGGCCATGCTCCCAAAGCTTACTAAGACGGGCAGCTGGGCTGGGCTGACAGCTCTGGTGGGGATCCCTGAGGGGCTTCAGGACGAGCCAGGGAGACGGAAGCCAGAATGTGCCTCCCTCACACTTACTGGCTGAGGAGCAGAGAGAAGGCTGGGGCTGCATGCCTGCAGAGGGGGCTGTTCTGTCCCGGGAGCTCCGTCCTTCAGGCACCGAGCTGCCATTCCCAGTGCGGAGCGGGGCAGCTAGCCAGCCAGGGCAGGGCAGGGCAAGGCAGAGCAGCCAAAACAAACAGAACAAGGCAGGTGAGCGAGCAAGCCGGACAGGACCTGAGCCCATGGCGCTGCAGTGCCGGGGCCAGGTGACGCCTCAGGCTGCTGTGGACAATGGACCACATCCCACGCCGTCGCCTCTGCCAGAGAGGCTTCCCAGCCGAGAGCCCCAGGAAGGTGCAAGGACCTGGGCGTGTGCCTTAAAACAGCCACAAGGACTTCTGCTCCTAGGGAAGATGTTCTAGGGGGTGAGGCCACAGGTCAAGAGCCCAGCAGTTAAGATGCCACCTACTCTGCCAGCAACCCCAGAATTGAATTTTTCTGACTTTAATCCTAGCAGCCCTGAAGGCACTACTCTTTAAAAAAACAAAACCAAATCCATTGCTGTGGAGTTGATTCTGACTCATAGCAACCCTGTAAGACAGAGCACTGTCTCACAGGGTTTCCAAGGCTAAAAAACTTTTCAGAAACAGATTGCATCTTTCTCCCATGGAGCATCTTGTCGGTTCAAACCGCTGACGTTCTGGTTAGCAGCTGAGTGCTTAAACCACCATGCCACCAAGGCTTCTTTTATAAGCCTATACTTTCTAATTTTTTTTGGTTCCCAAAGGTTTGGTGTCCCCTTACTGTCTCTGGGTCTGCTCTCTCAGCTCTGACTACAACGTTCCTCCATCTTTTCTAATACCTTTGTCTAAAGTCACTTACTAGAATAGAGAGAGCAATTCCAAGAGGCCAAACTGAAGTGCCAGGAGAGATTCCCAAGGGACTAGACTGCCATTCCCTCCCACACTCCCTGGCACTCTGGTCAGCTTCAAGCTTAGGGTGGTACTCCTAACAGGACCACTAGGATGCAGCCAAATGTGGTTTGACAGGCATCAGAGTCCCCACTTCATCATTCATGCCAAGGCCTCATGACTCCAGTGACCAACTCATCCCAGTTTGCCTGGTACTACACTGGTTTTAAAATGGAAGGTTCTTCATCAATTTAAAGTGTAAAAATTTCCTGACCTAGGAGATGGTGTCCAGAGAGGCAAGAGATCAATTCCACATCCCAGGAATCCCCTCAGTCCCAGAAAAACTGGGACAACTAGTCATTCTACTTGTGGGTTACTTCTGTAGGGACTTGAGATGCCCCTGTTCTGTGATTCACATCATTATTAGCAACAGGAACAGTTAACTGAGCCCTGGCCCCTAAACAGGCTCAGGAAAACCTCTAGTCTGGCTATTCTAGACTTGCAGTCAAAAAAGAGAAGCCTCTTACCCAACCCAGAAGCATCAGACAGGACCTCAAATCTTGGCCTACAGAAAGTAGCTTTTATGCCAAGCTATCTCCTGGGTATAAGGAGCCACCATTCCCAGTTCTTGGGGCAGACAAGGCAGGTGCCTTATTAGAGCCAAGGTACTTGGGTCACTGCTGGGGTCCCTTCCCCACCAAGGACCCAACACCTACCTTTAAGGTCTTCATCTTCCGTGGTAGTGTTGCAGCTCTCTGTGGAGCCCTGTAGGCCAAAGAGAACATATTCCTATTTGCTTCGGCTCTTGGAAACTTGGGGAGCCACACCCAACAAAAGCAGAGTATGTGCTCCTACAGGATGCAAGGAGGAATCATAGAAAGTTCTACTTCTACACTTGCCATCCGACTCTTACGAAACTCTGGATTCCCAAGCCTCCTCCCAAGACTTTCATCTACCCAATTCCTTGGGCCATAACCTAGAGTCATCTTGATTTTTTTTTTTTTACTCTTTTTCCCTTACCTCCCAATTATCCAATCTAAAATTAATCTGTTCATCCTAAAGAAGTGACAGCTGGGCATGAGTAGATATAAGGACACCCATGTTAATCACAGCATTATTCACTATAGCAAAGAGATAGAAATGACCTAAGCACTCATCAGTGGAGGAATGGATGACCAAACTATGGTACATATATAAAATGGAATACTATGCAACACTAAAGAATAATGAAGAATCTGTGAAACACCTCATAACATGGATGAACTTGGAAGACGTCATGCTGAGTGAAATAAATTAATCACAGAAGGATAAATATTGTATGAGTCCGCCACTGTAAAAAGTCAGGGAAAGTTTATACATGGAAGGAAACTTTCTTTGTTGGTTACCAGGATGGGAGAGAAGGACTGCTAGCTAGGTAAGAGACATGTATTGATGTGGGTGAAGGCAAAGGCCATATACCAAAGTGAGTGACCAGCACAGTAACACTGAGGAAAAGGAAGACATGGAGAGATGCACAGAGGTACAGACAACAAAGGTAAATCCTTTTACATACACTATACATGCCCTATCAGTAATAACAAACATTAATCTATGGGTAGATACAGAGGTAGACAGGCAAAATGACCAGATATGGGTAGGCCAAAGGGAATATACCCAGGACCATATATAGGTTTTACAGACAATATCTATCCATACACATTTGTATGTGCTTTAAGAATGTCCATATATATAATAGAGCTAACAGGGAGCAAAGTTATGGTAACTTCTTAAGCCACAGCCAAACACCTTGAGGGAGTGAGTCACTGAGTCTACAGGCTCAGGACCATGGTCACAGGGGACATCAAGCTCAATTGGCATAACATACTACACAAAAAACACTGTTCTACATCCTACTTTGATGAGTAGTGACTGGGGTCTTAAAAGGTTGTGAGCAGCCATCTAAGATGCAACAATTGGTCTTTCTTCATCCGGAGCAAAGAAGAATGAGGAAAATCAAAAATACATGGAAACAATTAGTCCAAGGGACTAATGGACCATGTGAACCTCAGCCTACATGAACCGTAGACCAGACCTAGATGGTGCCTGGCTACCAATGCCAACCAGTTGGAAAGGGATCAAAATAAGTGAGTCTGGATATAGTGGAAGAAAACGTGGAACAAAACTCAAAATCATAAAAAAAAAACAAAAAAAACAACAAAAACAGGCTATGTGGAACAAAATTCAAAAGCACACACACACACACACACACACAAAGGGACCAGGTTTGCTGGTCTGATAGAGCCTAGGGGAACCCCTGAGACTATGGCCCCTAGCTGTCCTTCGGTCTGGAATTAAACCCACTCCTGCGGCTTCCAGTCAAATAAAAGAGTCATATGAACTGAACATTTATATTAGGTAGATAACATTCCTTGGAGAGATCAATCATGGGAGAACAGAAGGGTTGTATATGCACAGAGAGACAGCTCGGGGGGCAGGAGTGCATGGGAGTGAAGGACACAGGGAGGAAGTGACTATGGGGAAGAAGTAGGAGGAGAACTGTTGCATTGTGGGAGATTACGGTCAATGTCATGAGACAAAATATATGTGAATTGCTGTATGGAAAATGAATTTGCTCTGTAAACTTTCACCCAAATCACAATAAAAATTAAAACAACAACAAAACTAGGCTTACTAGTCTGATAGAGACTAAAGAAACCTCCAAGACTATGGCCCCTAGTCACCCTTCAGGCCTCGAATTGAACTCACTCCCATAGCTTCCAGGTAGGTACAGTCTTTAGAACAATCAACCATGGGAGATGAGAAGGGCAGCATTTGTGCAGGGAGAAAGCTCAAAAGGCAGAAATGCATAGGAAAGAAGGACACTGGAAAAAGGTAACCACAGGGAGGAAGTGGGAAGAGAGCTATTACATTATGGGGATTACAATCAATGTCACAAAACAAAATATGTATGAACAGTTGAATGGGAAACAAATTTGCTCTGTGAACTTTCACCCAAATCACAATTGATCAATAAATCAATCAATAAAATCAAATCTGTCCAATTTGCATCTAAAATAAAACCTGTCTTACCTCTTCTCTTCAATTGTATGTCATAATCTGAATCCAAGCTACTATCATCTTGTACTTGAATCACTACAACACCTCCTTGGTCTCCTTGCTTCCACTCTTGCCGCTTTCCTAGATCCTGCCCTAACATAGCCATAGCAATTTTTCAAAAGCGTAAAACAGATTGAATTATATCCTTGCTTAGAAATGCCGATGGCTTCTCATTGCTGCTAGAATAAAATGCAAACTCCTACCTAAACTGTCCTTGTGAATAAGGACTTTGTCTTGTCACCTCGGTAACCAGAGCTATGGATGCTGTTTGGGCTCAATAAATATTTACTAAATGTTAGTGAGAATAAGGAGACAAGACTATTGAGTGCATAAAAAAGTGAAGTAGTGGAGAATGCTCTAGTGTCTGATTCTTACGTCTATTTCCTCAGTTTTAAACTTCACAACTCATGGAAGAAGGTTCTATTGTTATAATTTGTAATTTACTGATAAAGAAACTGAGGTGCAGAAGGGTTAAGTGACTTGTTCAGCACCACAGAGCCAAGATTCAAACCCAGATATGTCTGACCACAGAGCCTGAGCTCAGAATCACTAACTACAATGCTGTTTCTAGTAGGGCAGCGACAAACAGGCACACGTTACCCCCAGCCTAGACTCTGCAAACACTTTGACCTCAGGGTGCAGCCTATAGGCTGCCAACCATAGGACCTTTTGCCCCCATGACCCAGCCTATTTCCCACTGACCTGGAAAGTAGGAAATGGTTTTGGGGCCTCTCACCTTGATCCCATCTGTAGCGTTGTGCACTACGGTGGTCTGTGGCTCCTATGAGAGAAAATGAGAATTACCCTCTGGACTCTGGAACAGACCTACATACCCCTGAGGGACCCCGCCCTCCCCCTGGTACTCCCGTAGATCCTATGATGACCACCGAGGCCTGGACATCAGCCGTTCCCACAACATAAAATATTCTGCCTCAACTGGGGTCCAAGGGACTGGAAAGCCCTGGATTTAAGGGAAACTCTGGCTGGTAAGGAGGAGATGTCTGGCACTTAGCTGAATCAGACACCAGGGAAGCCAAAAGGACAACGGATTTGGTCCTGATTCATGCTGTTCTGATGCTCTTTCCCCAGAGGGTCCCCCTGAGGCAAGTACACAAGAGAAGCTGTGGGATTGAGGGCACAAGCCGGGCCCTGCCAACAGTGTTCATCAAGGGGTGCGTGGGAGGCAGGGACACGGGGAGCAAATGACAAAGTCTTCTAGAAAGACCCAGGTATGCCCCCTCAGCAAGCTGAGCCCAGGGAGCTGCCAGCTTCACCCATCTTCTGCCTTCCCCAGAGTTTCTGTCCCTACAGAACTGTGTCAGGCAGCACGAGGGTCCACAAGAAGTAAAGGAGTAGCAGGCAGTGTCCTCTCCCTCTTTCCCACTCATCCCCTTGCTCACTCTCCAACTACCATAGAAGAGGGAGCTTTTGAGAGCCCCTAGAAGAGCTCAGGTAGAACTCAGACGGCACAGGGCTCATGAGGAACCCAGAAATCTCAGCACTATCCAGATGTGGGGGCCACAGGCCTCTTTCTTGCTCCTGGCTTTGCAAAGGAGAAACTGAGGCAGGTTTCATGAAGAGGCCTCAGAGAACTGATGGTCCCAAGAAAGCCTCTACCCTCTCCTTGTATAAGCAACTCACCTTCCCGGCCTACAGAGCAGACCCATCAGGGGTCCCTGCCTGGGGCTAGAAGATTTAGCTGAGAGCCCTGAGCACACGTTCCCCCCAACAGTGAAAGGAGTGGGAGCAGCAGTTCTGCCATGCAGGAAGGAACATGGCCAAGCAAGACAATGAAGGAACAGGTCCTCAGGGGCAGTAGACAAAGCAGTCTGCTCTACAGGGCCCGAGAAAGGAAAAAGGCTGAAGAAGCCTGGGAAGGGAGGACAAGAGGAGGAAGAGGGAAGAAGCAGGAGGCAGCCAGGGGCAGAGGCGGAGAAGCTGTAGTCAGGAGGTACCATGGCCGTCTGCAAGGGCGCGGGCTCTTGGGCTGGGTTTACGAGACTGTTTTTGTTGTTGCTCTGTGGCTGAGACAAGAAAACATATGGTTTAGTTCCTCCAGAGTCACCAAAGCAACTCAGGTTTGACTCCCAGACCTCCCTTGCCCCCTGGCCTAGCCTGGAGGAGCTCGGCCTGAGGTGGCCTCCATAACACTGTGGGGGTGGGGAATGGCTGGAGAGGTGAACAGGAAGGGTAGGTTTTAGAGGGACCCAGAGACCTAGCTCTCTGGAGGCATCCTCAAGGTAGGACCAGCCCAGAGACTTGTTTTCAAGCATTTTTCCAGGTGCCACTTTGTTATACAATCAAACTTAACCCAAAGAAATTTACGATCTTCTCCCCACTGTATAGGAAAAGAGAACGGTGGTTTATAAGAACCCAAAACCCACTGCCATCAAGTCGATTCTGATTCATAGCAATCCTTTAGGACAGAGTAGAACTGTCCCTTAGGGTTTCTAAGGCTATAAATCTTTACGAGGGAGCTCTGGTAGCATAGTGGCTAAGGCACTTGACTGCTAACCAGAAGGCTGGCGGTTCAAACCCACCAGCCACTCCTCGGAAGGAAGGTTGGGCAATCCTACTTCCGTAGTGATACTGCCTCGGAAACCCAAGGAGGGGTCGCTATGAGTCGGGACCGACTCGACGGCAAATAATAACAACAACAACAACAAATCTTTACGAAAGCAGACTGCCTTATCTTTCTCCTATGGGGTGGCTGGTAGGTTTGAACAGCTGACCTTTTGGTTAGCAGCACAATGCTTTAACCATTCCGCCACCAGACCTCCTTGCTTGTAAGAAAGCAGAGAAAAATTCAGAAACTCTGGGTCCCACATCTGTGGACAGTCTTCTGCTGCTTTTTTTCAACCTACCACCTAGATTTCCTTCCCCTTAAAAACCAGTTTGAAGCCTGAACTGAGAAGGAGAAGAATGGGAAGAGGAAGAATACCTGGCCTAGGAGATGGTGTCCAGAGAGGCAAGGGATGGAATTCAACAGTGGATAGAAAATGCATCCCCTGACCCCAGGGGGGAGAGAGGGCTGTGCTGGTCACTTTTCTCCCTGGCAGAGTGGCAGGGAGTGGGGAGGTGAGGTGAGTCCAGGTGGGGGCTGTGGCTGCAGTCCCAGAATCCAGTCCCCAAGAAAGAGCAGGCCACCATTCCTAACAGCAGTATAATCAGGGTGTATCCTTGTCTTTCAAAATGTTACACAGAGTGGTACAGTCCCCAGGGTGGGAAGTCATCTGATGTTCTCTGCCTCTTAGAATTTCCCTAACCAGTGCACTCAGGCTCACTATGGGCTCCAGAAGCATCAAAGGCCACAGGGGAGTAGCCTGATGCTTATTAAGTTCTCCAACAGGCTGAGAAACAAATGTATGGCTTCCGTCTCTGGGCAGTGTGCAGATGAGGACACTAGGTGACAGCCAGGACATACTTCTTGCCCAGATGTCTCTTTTATGGCCCGTTGGTACAGACCAGAAGCCATCCACCCCGAGTTTCCTGTCAGCGGCTGAGACATCCCCAAACCCAGGGCTAAGCATGGAACCTCAATCCAGGCACCGAATACTAAGAAGACACCACGGAACACTGAAGGCTGGAGAAGGGGGGATAGGGGTCCCAGGAATAGTCAGGATATGGCTCTAAACTCCCACAAGCTTCAGCTCTCTTCTATTGCAATGAGGAAGCAGCAGTGTGCTTCTAGCTCTGCTGCTGATGTTGACCTGTTCAGGGTGGACTGGACAGGCTGTTCTGCCAGCAAAACCCAGCTGAGAGAAAGCCCCTGCAGGGGGGTGAGAACTCCAGGGTACCCATGAGCCTGCCATATCTGCAGAGGGCTGGGATGTTTCCCAAGTGGCCCCAGCTGTGGTTTTAATGGATGGTTTCATAATGACTCAGGCTGCTGTGTTCCCTTTGGTGCCCTGTGTCCCATGAGAAAGATATATTCACTTGAGTCTTTTAGCAGGTCCCCCAAGGGCTGGGTGGGAAGGATGAAACGTGGGGAACAGCCTGATAATGGGTACTTGCTCAGGGGAAAGCTCATCTGCCACCACACAGATGCCGCTTGTACCAATGAGCAGGGCCTCTCCTCCTGAGAGACAGTGAGTGGGGGGTCCTCCCTGAGCTTGCCACCTGGCCCCCAGTCTATGCCAGCTTCACTTCCTGCCCTGGGCTGCTGGGGGCCACCAACCTCCACAGTAGGGGTTGCTGCACCACATGTTCCAATGCCCATTTTGTAGGCAATGGCCCTCGCCTGGCAGGACAGGCCACAGCTGCCCACACAGCACAGACATGCAGTGAGGATGAGAGGAGCACACGCACATGGCAGAATGGGCTTGCGTGGCTGGCAGGCGGGTGCAGGCAGCATGGAGTGGGCGGATGGGTGGGCAGGCAAGGCTCACCATTAGGTGCACGCTGGAACTCGACTTCCTTTTCTGGACACATCACAGCAAAAGGGAAAAAGAAGGGGAAAGAGGAGGTAAGAAGAGAAGAAGCACAGAGATGCTGCAGATTAGTGCACCCGCGTGGGCTCTGCATCAGGGGAGAAAAGAGTGGAAGAAGGAGCCTCAGAGTCCAGCACCAGAGTGATTAAAACAGCACCTAGGCACACACAGCCCTCCAGACCCAGGAGAGGAAGAACTCCTTTGCTGTCAGGGCCACAAGTACAGATTTAGTAGATTCTGAGGAGCCTAGCCTAGCTCAGAGAAAGCTTAATGAGATTAAGTCACAAATCTAGGAGGGTAAGTCATGTTTTGCTGCAAATTTTCAGGTTTGAATTATAAGGCTCACTTGCATATAAAGTTATTTATTTTCTCTCATTAGCACGTCTGTCGGAAACTGGAGTAAGCAGCTAACAAGTGAATAGCAAAAGCTACTACAGCTATGCATTTTTTAAATGCGTATACTGAAAAGCAAAGCAACATTTATATTAAAACTACAAAAAAAAAAAAAAAAAGCTACCATAGGTCATCCTTGGCTTTAATACATCTGACTTTTGAACCTAGACCTTTGCACTGCACCCCTAAAATGCTTTTCAGATGAAGACGTTGAGTTTTTGAAAATTATCTGATAATGGTTAAATTTTGGCATCTTTGTTATCAGTATGGCCATACTTGTTGGTAAGATTTGAAAGCTCTACTGCATTTCATAATTAGTGGGAAATGGAAAGATAAAAGTGCTGGTGATTCAAAGTGCAAGTCTCATAAAGAAACAGATGTAAATCATGAAGAATGCTGGGAGCAGTCAATTTTTACACTTCAGTTAGATGCTCACTAATGTCCTCTAGCTCAGATGTGAAACAAAAGCACAGAATTAAAGTCAGATGACATTGAAAATGTTATCTCAGAACAGGTAAAGGGTAGTTAAGAATTTGATAATCAGCTGAGAGAAACTCCCCTTGGAACATTTTATTTTTTTGACTTCGGCACATTCAATTAACAACATTCAACAAATACTTATTGAGGGCCTGTTCTAGGCACTGGGGATATAGCAATGAACATATCAGAGAAATGTTCTTATATTCAAGTAGCTTATATTCTACTTTAGAAGACATTTTGGGGAATATATTCAAAAGAAGGGACCTACAAATATTTAAAAGAATGGCCTATATAAAGAAAAACTTTAAATTAGGTATTAACCTTTCATGTTTGCCCACATAAAAGATTTGATTTTCAGTCTTTCCAAGAACAGGGAGTTGCCTTACATTCATATATGTACTTAGTTAGCCCTTTATCCAACTAGACTATTAATTTCTTGAGGGAAGGTCCATATTTTATCTTTATAATCTCACAGTGCCTGGAAAGACACCCAAAAGTTAGTATATGATTAACAATGTATGTTGAATTGCACAGTTGGCAGACTGGTTTTTTTTTCCCAGGCGAAAGCACAGCACAGATTTCTATCCTGCTTGAGTCATATCAATCAAAAGTATTCTGGGCATATCAATCAAAAGTGCTGGCTATGGTGGCTTTCAGGGGCTTACCTTACAAAGGTAAGGTGGCCCTCCCCTGGACCTTGTATTACACAGAACACTTTTCAGCTGCTTGTCAACTTAATAGAGACTATGTTCCCAACTTTTTCATTGTTGGTTTGCTTTTCCTTAAACTGTCCTGCATGAAAATGCTATGTAATCCCTTTCTACTCAAAGGCTATTTCCCAGGTCAGTAAAGGACTTTAAACTCCTCTCTTCTTTTTTCTTTCAAGTTTCTGCCCTCAGTCACACACAGGTCCTTTGCCCCAGCAAAGGCCAACACTGCTGAAATACCAAGTCATTTTTAAAGACCTGTATCTCACATTTATTTTAAAATTATTTTTATTTAAAATTTTAAACTTTATTTGAAAATTAAATGGAACTAATTGGGAAGAAGTTCAAGCCTCCTTTGAGTTACAAATTTAAACAACGATTCAAAGTACTTAAGGAAATAACTATATCCTTTCTCTCTCTTGCTTTCCTTCTTTCTTTTTAAAACAGTATGAAATAATAATTTATAATGCTAATCTAATGGTCTAGACTATGGGCCTCTTGGGACTTGAAAGTCTGTGTTACCTTAACTCTTGTCCTCACAATTGGCTCTCACTGTTCCACAGATCTTGGATCACTGGCATCCATTTTCAATGATGCCTCAACAGAAGCTGAAATCCCCATATTAAAGGGCACAAGGTAAGTGAGGTACTCAAACCAATGCTAATTTTTCCAGGGTCTTGCAGAAAGAGTCTGAACAGTGAGAAAGAAATCTCCTTTTGAACACTCAGAACAAAAAACTCCTGTTACCGTGGAGTTGATTCCAACTCATAGTGACCTTATGGGACACAGTGGAACTGCCCCATGGGGTTTCCAAGGCTGTAACCTTCAAGGAAGGAGGACGGAGAATGCCACATCTTTTTCCCTCTGAGCAGCTGGTGGGTTCGAACCAACTTTTTAGTTAGCAGCAGAGTGCTTAACCATTGCACCACCAGGGCTCTTTCAAACACTTAGGCAGAGGACGTGGGGAAGGGGGAGCTGGGAAGAGAAAGTGATCTAAAAAGAAGGATTCAGTATGCCCAAAGCTCAGTATTCTCTAAGCCATGCCACAGGTCAGAACACAGACTGCCACCTGAACTTTCACGGGAGCACAGAAAGGCGGATTTCTGTACATCTTGCTTTATCCTCCTCCTTCTTCCTTGATACTTCCATCCAACCATGCTATTGTTATGTACATGCTCTTGACTATAAAGGACTGCAACCATATTAGAACCAAAGTGGAAAACAGAGATGGGGCAGGGGAGAATCCTTACAATCCTATTGCTTTTACCATTCCTATCCCCTCCCCAGCAACTGAAAAAATACTATCATTATAAGCTATATAAAAGTTCATGCTTTGATTTTAAAATAAACAGTATTTTGATTTTTATTGTGATCATAAAAGTAATGCATGGTCTAGGTGAAAAATGTAGAAAATACAAAATAATGTGTAAAAGAAAATAAAAGTCTCACTACTGAATTTACTATTAACACTTCAATGGATTTTCTCCTAATTCTTTTTCTAACCATTTATTTTATATTGGCTACATATATACAACATAGTCTTTTTTAAATAAAATTTTGAACTATATTATATGAACCACTTTATCTTACTTTTTCATTTAATATATTTTCCCACATCATTATTATATAATAATGAAAATCAATAACTTTGTAATGGTTTGTTAAATGGATTTCCCAAAACTATGTAATGATTCCCTTACTGGCTTTTTAGATGGCCTCCAAGCTGTTACAAATGATATCCTGTTGAACACCCTTATGCTTTCAGTTTTTTCATATTTTGAATTATTTCTTTAGGAGAAATTCCCAGAGATAGGATTACATGGTAAAAAAGGTAGGAACACTTGTATGGCAATTGACACACCAGCTGTTTTTGAAAGGCCCATTCTAATTCATACCACCATCAGTGGAGGAAGAGTTAAAAAATGGCACATTGTTTCAACCTGCTTTTCTTTGCAAACATTTGTTCACCAGTTCTACTTCCTCTTTTTCAGACTGTAGTTAATCTTTTTTTGATCATTTATGTGCTGGGTTTTAGGAGACATTTTTATTAGAAGAGCTCTTTGTAGAACAATAATATTAACCCCTCCCATTATACTGGTTACCAATATTTCCCTCAGCTTATGTGCTCTTAGCCTTTTAATTTTGGTTGGAGACTCCTTTCTTAAACGCCTGCCTCTTGGCTTCAGGTCTTAACACTATATTAAAACTCTTTTCTCAAAAGTGCATAGCTTCTAATTCACTTTTACTGAGCACATTTATAAGGGTTAAACTCAGGCTGCTGTGTTCCCATTGGTGCCCTGTGTCCCACGAGAAAGAAGATACATTCACTGGAGTCTTTCAGCTGCCCCCCATAAGGGCTGGATAGGAGAAAGAGGAAGTAAGGGCTGGGTTCCCCACAAATGTTCTCATCTAAAACATTTTATCTATGATGTAAAAATTGGGGAACAGATAAGTGTGATGATTGAATAACATGACAAACATAATTTTAGTATCACCAAACCATATAGATGAAGATTGTTGAAATAGCAGATGTTTTGTTACCTATACATTTACCACAATTAAAAACATCTAACAATTCTGTTTTTCCAGATTTGACAATGTTATACATGTTGGTTTGACTGTTCCTCTTAGTTCTTTCTCCATTTCCTTTGCTGATTCCTCTTTTTCTTATAGCCCATTAACAACAGATAACCCCCAAATTCTGCTTTTGCCAGACTCTTAAACCTTCATATGCTTTAGACTCTTCTGGGTGGTAGGGAGGAGGCTTATTAAAACAGGTCTGGCTCCCACAAAAGGCCTCCTAAATCTGAGTTTTAGGCTGGACCCTTGGGTCTGTGTATTTTTAAGTAGCTACCTAGGTGAACTCTGTGTGTCTGGGGCTGATGCTAATTTTTAGGACCAACATCTAGAAAGTTCTGCCAAAGACCATGCCTTAATAGCTCCATTAGCCAGCCTCTCCCTTCCATCACAGCTGTCACTGCTTTACTTCAGGTCTGACCCTGTGTAATCACTCTTCCTGTCAGCCACATAACCAGGTGCTGGGGAGACTTCATGTCAGAGTAGAGCTGTGCTCCATATGGTTTTCAATGGCTAACAGGAAGAGTTGCCAGGCTTTTCTTACAAGGCACCTCTGGGTGGACTCAAACCTTCAACCTTTCAGTTAGCAGCTAAACGCATTCTCCATTTGCACCACCCAAAGAATCCTTTAGCTATATAGAAACTTACTAACTTCCCAGAATCATCACACTGTTTCAGAATTGCCCATCTTCACATGCACTATCCCTTCTGCCTGGAATAGCCTTCCTCTCCGACTTAACCTGGTAAAATCCAGCTAGTCCATCGAACTCATAGGTACCTCCTTCAGGCAGATCTCTTGTTCTGGTTTGGATGCACCTCTGTGCTCCCCTGGTGCCTCCCTGCTCATACCTCCCTCAGAGGTTTTATCAGAATGCTCTGAAACTCATGGTCTCCTTGTCTTTCCCCCACTGTGAACATCTTAAAGGCTTGGATTATGTCTTCCCTGCTTCTAGAATACAGTAGGCATCTAATAAATGTTGGACAAGTTAATGAACTCATGTGATTTGCTCATGTGATTTCCAAACCCAGCACTGACCCTCTTTTCCATGGCTGCCATTAGGTATCCTCCAATGCCTCAAAAGACACCTATACCCAGAAAGTCTATCTTTCTCTCAATACAAAACTCCTCTTCCCATCTAACAACACCCTTCACAAACAACACCCATTTCTAGTCAAAGTACCACCATTCTTCTAATATTCTGGGCCAAGAACATTGTCATTATCATTGATTGGTCCTTTTTAATGCAAAAGATCTGTGGTTTGAATCCACCAGCTGGTCTGCAGGAGAAAGATGAGGTAATCTGCTTTTGTAAAGATTTACAGCCTTGGAAATCCTATGGGGCAGTTTTACTCTGTTCTATAGGGTCATTCTGAGTCAGAATCGACTTGATGGCAGTGGGTTTGGTTGTTGTTATTTTTAATCCAAAGTGAACTTCCTTTGATAATTCTCTAACAGAGATGGTATTCCCAGTATTCATGGGTACTTGCAGGCAGTACTTGTCCCATGCTCTCCTGGTAGTTGAGCATTTTGAACATGACCTCCTTCTATCTCTAATCACCCTTTCTCGCCACCACACATACACCCAGATTACAACTCCTCCTAATCAGTATCTTTGTCTAGTTCCTTCCTCTTGCACCTATAGCCAAATCTTTCTAAAAATATCACTCTTACTATGGCCTGAACATCAACACTTACAAGGGAACCTATAAAAATTATTTTTATTGCTTTCAAATATTAATCTAATTAAAAAATTTTAATTTAACTTTAAACTTAGATGAGTTATATTCATTTTAAAGGACACATCTAAATATACAACGTAAAAAACGAAAGGTGTGTCTTCCCATGCTGTCCTTACCTCTAATTCCATTCCCTAGAAGTAATCATTGACTTGGCTCAAATCTGCCCATTTCCCTTAAGCTTTCTCCAGTAAACATTTCCCTATAAGTTTCTTGGACTGAACCATCATATTTAGGGTCCAGACCATAAGCCATTTAGGGCTTGGCTGATTCCAAGTATGTCCATTTTTCTTTTCAATTAACCTTGCAACCTCCTAAGGCTAGATGAAAACTACATGTCCTCTTACATTTCTTTTGAGCTCAGCACTGGGCCTCGGTAAGGCACTTATAAAATATTTTGTAAAGATTGATTTTTTTCCCCAGTAGAAATAATCAAAATCTCCCTCCAACTAAACCTGTTCCCTTTCGTAACTACCTGAAGACCTCACACCCATCAACCCCAGCTGCAAGTAAGCAGGGTGTGCATGGAGCCCAAGCTCCCCTCCTTGGGGCAGAGGTACAGAGAAGCAGGCAAGCAGAGAGAATGAGGGGAAGAGGGAGGGGTGGAGGAAGGTAATGGGACACATGTGTATCTCAGCTGTGGACACAAGATCCTGGGGAAAGGCCAACTGAAACTTTTGTTGGAGTTTTAAAAGTTTGAAATTCTCTGGTGGAAACTGGTAGGGTTCAAGAAAGTATGGATTCAATGCCCCAGCCCTAGAAGCCATCCCTTCTCTGCCCCAAAGCAGCCATGGAACATCTCAGCCTGTCAGTCCACGCAGCCCCTTTTCCTCCCCTTGGCTTCCTGCTTGTCCTTTCAGTCTCCTAGTCCCTCCTTTTCTTCTGGTTGCAAAGGAAGAGCTCCCTTACCAAACAGGAATATGCCATAATATACCACATCTCTTGTCTGTCTCTGAGGGGTCTATCTTGAGAAAGCTTAAGACACTTTCACTCAGAGATGTCTGAGCTGGGTCTGGAGATGCTTTGGGGACAAGGAAAAAGGCCAGAAGGGTAGTGGCTTCAGGTTCCAAGCCCTATATCCTGAGTCAACCAGGCAAACATTATTTTTCTTTCATAAAATGAACTTGTTGCTATTAAAAACGAGAAAAGGATAAATAAAAGACCTAAAAAGTCCCACAGAGTTGAGCCTTGGAGATGAGCACATGTCTGGAACTTAGGTTCAGGATTCAGCTCTATAATTTGTATTACTTCCCCTGAGTCCTTCAGAGCCAACTAGGGTTAGGAGAAACACTGCTCCCTTCTTCCCCCTCAGGCCAGTGGAACCTGCTGTTCTGGGCATGATGAGTCTGTTTTAAAGCAGAATAGCAAGGACAGGAAGGTTCTCAGGGAAAGGGGGAAAGTGGGGCCAAGAATTCCCCATGGTGACTGTTGGGAGAGATAGAGAGGCCTGGCCCTGGCAAGAGAGGCAAAGACTCTTACCTTGACACCGCCATCTGACTTCTTGTTCAATAGGCTTTTGGCAGCTGTGAAAACAAAGAGCAAAATCAAGTCTCCTGCATTGTACCCTCTCCTCAACCTGAAGTCCGGGAGCCAGGTCCTCAAGAGAGTGGGTGTCTGACAAGGGGGCCAGACTGTGGTGTCTGGAACCCTTGGGTGACCTCGAGAAGCCACAGCATCTGCAAGAAGGGCGTCTCAATCGGCATCAGAGCCCTCAGGGCAGCATCCAGGATTTCCTGGGTACCAACGCTCCTCTGACACAGAAGAGGGCTCGGCTGAAACAGGGACACACTGACTTAGAAGGAGAAATCCGTGCTCATTATTGGGGCTGCCTGGGGCACTGGGAACTCTGCCTTCCATAGCTTCCAACCCAGGCCCGGAAGCAGAGTCCCTAGATGCCGTGGAGAGTCTCAGGATGGCCAAGCTGGAAGGATGCAAGACATCTCCTGAGTGTTCTCAAGAAACGGAATGTCACAATTCACAAAGAGACCAGACATGAGGACACACAGACACAGACACAGAAATCAGGACCACCTACAGGAGGGTTTCGCCAGGGGATTGAAGCCTTGACTGGGCAGGTCCTCACCAGGTTTATTGAGTCCCATCTCACTGCCCTTTCCCCCAAGCCACCTCTCTGAATCTATGAGCAGGAAGGCCTGGGTAGAACAATGAAACATTAAATAAATGCCAGCCAGGCTTGAGGTGATCAGCTCTGTGACACCAGCTGGCCACAAAGGCTGTAAGAGGGCAGCAGACAGTGGGAGAGTATGGGAGGCACAGGGTGATGGAAACAGCCCAACTGTCTGATGTATGTAGACTGCCCTGGATTTGTAACTGGGTTCCAACACTTGCTAGCTGTTTGACTTTGGGTTATTTAACCTCTCTGAGCCTTAATTTCCTTAACTATAAAATGGGGATAAAACAGGGTCGCGGTCACAGGGAAGTGGTGGGGATCCGATGGGATCATATATGAAAAGTACTCAGCAGAGTGCCCGGCATATAAGTGTTAACTGTTGTCACTATTGCTGCTGTCACTCTTCCTTTCATGTGGCCATTCCTACCCCAAGCTGTGTCCCACCTCTCACCAGTCAGAAAAAAGGTCCTTCCATTGCAAAAATTCTGACTCTAAAAATGTCCTTTGGCCCTATGTCCAGCACTAGGTCCCTATCATGCTGGAACTTATTTTTGTTTTAGTGTGTCTTCCACCTATCAGGCTAAGTCTTTACATGCATCTGTCACATCACCTGGGGAGCTGGGGGGGGGGGACTTATGCCTATTCCATCCCCAGGGATACTGATTTTATTTGTCTGTAGTGGGGTCTGGGGATCAGGATTTTTTACAAGTTCCCAGATCATTAATTGTCCAGTATGGGTGGGGTTGAGAGCCTTCAGCATATGAGCTCTTAAGCATCATCATTGTTATTCATTATTCCCATTGGACAGATAAGGAAACTAAGGCTAGGAGAGCTGAAGTGAAGTACTTAGGGGGTAATAGGGCTGGGATCCAAACACAAGAGGGCTGACTCCACAGCTACCACACTCTATAGCCTCTCAATCCTGCAAACACGAGACATCACAATTTTGAGGGCTTGGCTTCCTCTATGGGGACTGCTGAGGTCTAGTCTTAGTACTGGGCAGCTTCAGGCCATGCCCAGGGCTATTTCTGGGGGGTCACAGTCTGCCGCAGCCCTCTGCAGGCAGGTCTGGCTCTCAGTCTGCCTGGAGGAAAGTTCTCCTGCCGCCCAGCTCCACGTCCTCCAGGCCATTGCCTCCTGAGAGTCGGCAAGCGCCCAGCATGCATGGCTGGTTAGGGGGCTTCGTAACACCAATGTGCTTGCAGATGCCAAGTTAGGTCATCCGTCCGGCATGCCCATCTCAGCCCGCAAGCAGGGGACTCGTCTCCCTGGTGAGTGGGCCTGGCATGCTGGCCCTCCTGGTGGGGTGGCAGGGAGCCGAGACAGGCGGTCGGGGAGGACTCATGCCACATACCTTGCCCGGCCAGGCCGGCGGCGCTCGCGGCAGGCGAGGCGGGGGCGGAGCTCTGCCTGCCAACTGAGGGGATACAATCTCTCAGTGCACAGAGCTGCCGCAAAGCCACGGGGGCCAGTCAGCAGCGAGCATGCCCCAGCACGAGGTGGTGGGAACCCGCTGGCCGCCCACGCACAGCAAGGCCTAGGTGGCGTGGCCAAGCCAGCCGAGCTGAGGGGAGCAGAGGCGCCAGAGGGGGCAGGCTGATGAGGCAGGTGCAGCCAGCCCTGTAGCAGTCTGGGGGCCTGAAAGAGCTGGGCTTTGATGGGGGCCTAGGGAATACCATGGCTCCACCTGGTGGAAGTGGCTTCAGCTCTCATCCCATGACCACTTCAGGTGAGTCAACAAGTAAGGGCCTGGTTGGTTGAGAGGCAGGTGCCCTTTTTGAGGTAGCCCATCTCTAGCTTAAAGCTATGAAAAAGTAAGTCTCACTTTTAGACTTTCCCTGCCTAAGACCTAAATGAGGGCATTATCAGAGCGCAGGAAGCAGAGAGGAACTCTTTTCCCTGCCACATTCAGTAGAAGGACTGGTACTTGGGGCCCGGGAGGGTCTATGGCCCCGACTACCATGGCCCCAGTTCCTCAGAGACACAGGCCCCTTTCCCTCCTCAAGGGAGGTGCTGGGAAAGGCAGCTTTTCTTACCCCGTAGGTCACCATGTTCTGAGGGCACATAAGCCTGAGAAATGAGCCCTCAGAAAGAAAACAAAGGCTGCTGAAGCAATATTCTAAAAGTCCTGATTTCACCATTAGCCAAGTTGCTAGAGTCCAAGGCTAACCTGCAACCACTAACCAAAAAACCAGTTTCTATCAAGTCAGCTCCAACTCATAGTAACGGATGTGTGCAGAGTAGAACTGTGCCCAGAGAGTTTCATGACTGTGACCTTTGCAAGCAGATTGCCAGCACTTTCTTCCAAGGTGCCCAAGTTGCCTCTGGGTGGGTTCAAACTGTCAACCTTTTGGTTAGCAGTTGAGTGCTTAACCATTTGCATCACCTAAGGATGCCCAAGCTGTACCCCTAATGGGGGCCAACTCAGAAAATAGCCAAGCTCATCCCCAAGAAAACATACTGGTGCCCCTCTTCCCTCATTACACCTGTAGACAAGAGATGGAGACATCTCTTTCCATAGAAGCTTCTAGAGATGGGCTCTGTTCTCATTATCTCAGAATGAAAACAGAACCGGCCCTTCTGGAAAGACCACAACAGAGTTCTCTAACCTGAAAGTCCAACAAGGTCTGAGCAACAAGGAGGCAGCTCTTTGGGGACAAGAAAAAGTGTTTTGTCCTAACAGCCTGATTTACTGAAACCAGAATACCGATTTCCTGAAATGGGATGGGGAAGGGGTGGAGGGATGATGTGGAGGCCATAGGAAGGGGCCTGTGATACTGATTCCCAGGCTGAGAGAAGCAGTCGTCTGTCTTCACGTTTCTGTGACTGAGAAAGGAGAGATGACAGATCATAGTTCTAGGGTCAGCATAGAAACGCCCTTGAGCGCCCTCTAGCAAGGCTCTTAAACCAAGAAAAGCAGAAGCTACAAGTAGTTAGTTAGGCACAAGAAGCATGAAGTGGGGCTACAGCTCTGTTTCTAATGGAGGCGGTTGCTGGACTCCTGTTCCCGTCTGTGAGAGCTGAATCCAGAATCACAATCCTACCCTCATGGACATCCACAACACAAGAGAGTCCCAAGCCAGGGTCACAGGGCCTTCCCATCTAGTCCTGATGTCTCTGGAGCCCTGTGGCTCTCCAACTAGAGCTCATGAAGCCCCAGGTCTTCTTGCCTGCAGCATCCTCAGAGCCAGGGCTCTAAAGTTACCCAGAACTAGCACAGACCAGCCCACTGGGACTCAAGTTCAAGGGAGCAACCTGTACCCAGAGGTAGTAAGCAATCCCAACAGTTCCCTCTCCATGACAGTACAGAGGAAAGTCTCATTATGAGAATGAGAGAAGGTGCGGGGGGGTGGGGATGGGGGTGGCAGTTGTGGGGATGCATCAGAGATGGGGATGAAACTAGGGGAAATGGCTACCCGGGAAAGACCTTTCTGTTTTCAGTCTTAACTTTAATCGTTTCCTCACAGAAAATCCACCGAGCTTTCCCCCAGCTGAGGGTAAACAACGAGGGTAGAGGAGAGAGGGTAACTGGAGTGTCTTGCATCGAAAAGAAATGTCAAGTATGATTTCCATATCATTGGTCCCAACTCCCCCAATTTCTCATGCAAACAGAAGCAAGTTCCTTTTCCTCCCTCCTTCTGGTCTCTTTTTCTTCACTTTCACAACTAGTTATCACTGAGAATATTTTAAGCCCAACTAAAAGGTTTAAACACCTGGAATAATTTCCATTTGTCATCTCTGCTTAGACACAATGAAGTAGGGATTGTCCCTGTCAGCAAATGAATGAAGGAGACTGAGAAGACCCAATGCACCTTTTATCTCTTTTTCCCTAGCACATCTTCTAATCCCCTAGATTGGCTAAAAATCTCAAAATGCTGCAAGTCTTCAGAGAATTAAATAAGAAATCAGAGACAAATTGGAAGGTGAGCAGGCTACTCCTAGAGCGTTCTGGTGAACAGTATTTATAAATCTGAACCCAAGCGAAGTCTCACAGAATCTCAGGTTACAGGACCTAGCAGCAACTACAGTGGCTCCTCAAATCAGGATCCTCAGTCATCCTGGTCAAGGTGTTGCTAGGATACCCAGTGCTGCCTCGGATGGCAACCACCCCCTCCTGACCCACTCACCTCAGTAGGATTAAAATGTGCTGCTGGGGAAACATACCTGAAAAATTCCTGGAGACAAGCATGGTCGTGAGGATGGCACCCTGGGGAAAGAGGAGGGTCCTATGAATTCAACCGGACTCTATAACATGTGGCCTGATCTCAGGCAATGGCAGCTCCTGGCTAGAGCCAGAAGATATCAGGTCTTTGGGGCCTCCTCCATGTACAATCTTCATAGCTTAGCTCCAGCCAGAAAAGGGGCTCTCTTCCTTGATGGGGCAGGGGTGGGGCACACTGTTAAAGGGCATGATTTCGGGATACAGGGACCCAGAAGGCAAGACTCACCTTCAGTTTCCTTCGGGCATTGAACTTGCGCAAACACTCCACAGTCTCCTGACGATGCATCATGGACGCCACCGTGGATCGTTGCTGGAAACCAAACACATAGGCCTGTGAGCCTCTAGCACAGACCTTCTCTGCTTCCCCAGCTGACAGTATGCTTAGGAGGAGGTCGTGTACTCAGTCAGGGCACACCCCCCCCCCAAGAGCCACTCCAGAGATGAAATGAGCTCATGGATGTGGAAATGCTTTTAGAATAAAAGTACTACCCCAAACTCAAGGTGATATAAGGACAGTGATCTGAACACTAAAACACTACTGATAACTGATGCTAGATGATGGTACCCTAGAGAGCATTCATCTTCCTGGGGAATTGGAAGGAGTGTCCTGTATGTTGTGAGGCTCATTCAGTGACTCCTATTTACTGAGCACCTCCTGCATCCCAGACTGTGAGCAGTGAGAGAACAAGCAGGGTTCCTGCTCTCTACAGAGGACCACTCATTCCTCCTAAGAGCCTCTCTCAACATTCCTGCACAAGGTCCACAATGAAGCTGTCATCTGAGAAACTAAGGATCATTTTAGGAGGAAAGGTTTTCTTCAATGTATCTATGACTAACTTGCCTTGCCTCCTTAAACATGAGTCTATCGGACAGGAGTTACATTTCCTTGATGACTGAGGGTCATCAATACAAGCATCAAGGATTATGCAATGTCATAATTAGTGAGGTTCTCAGGGGCTGAGATACAGGGTGGAGGCCACAAAAACACTATATTTTAGTGGAGGTCACTAAAACACTGTTATTTCCTCAATTCTGAGCCTCTGTTTTAAGTTGTACTCCCCTCCCCATTTTTTTAAAAAAAAATTTATTTTGGCTTAAGTGAAAATTTACAGAGCAAATTCATTTTCCATACAGCAGTTCATACACATTTCATTTCATGACATTGATGGCAATCCCTATAATGTAACAGCTCTCTTCCCACTTCTTCCCTGTAGTTACCTCTTCCCTGTGTCCTTCTTGCCTACACATTCCTGCCCTCTGAGCTATCTCCCTGTGCAAATATTGCTCTTCTGATCTCCCATGTTGATTGTTCTAAGGAGTATGCCTACTGGTTTAAATGTTCACCTTATATGTCTGTCTATTATTTGTCTGGAAGCCACAGGAATGAGTTCAATTCCAGGTCTGAAGGGTGACTAGGGACTATAGTCTCGGGGGTTTCACCAGTCTCTGTCTCACCCCCTCCCTTGCTGTGAACTGTCTTGGCCAGTCTGCTAGAAAAATCAATCCTATAACCCTGGTGCTCCCAGCCCCACTGGGCCACCAGCAAAGTCTTGCCCTCGTTCCTGGTCCACTCCCTTTCTTGGTTCCCAAAGTAACTCCTCCAATCTTCTCCACCTTCACTCCCTCCTCCTCAATGTGAACTTCTCTATAACAAGAGAGAGGGGGCACTAAATAAGCACTATTTCAACTTCAGCCCCTCACCCACAAACTGATTCTCACCTGCCTTCAACCCCATCACTCCTGGGGGGCAACAAAGAGTCCTCCACCTGGGCTCGGAAGCTCTCACTTTACTTATTATCCAAACACTTGCTCCTTCAATTAGCCAGTATTTTCAACCTCTACTTCCACACTAAGGAGTTCTGGTGGCCCAGTGGTTAAAGCATTCAATTGCTAAACAAAAGGTCAGTGGTTCGAATCTACCAACTGTTCTACAGGAGAAAGATGAAGCAGTCTGCTTCTGTAAAGACTGAAAGCCTTGGAACCCCTATGGAGCAGTAGTACTCTGTCCTATAGGGTCACTGCGTGTTGGAATCAACTCGATGGCAGTGAGTTTTGGTTGGTCTCCCATATTAGATTCTCTTCTGTAGTCTATACGTTATATTCAAGCTTCTCTTAGAAAAAAACCAACCAACCAACCAACAAAAAACCTCCCCTTGGCCCACCTTTCTTCCACTAATGCCAATGCTTTCTCCCATAACTCTGTAGCTTTCTGAAAATGCAACATACGTTCTCCTCCTCACCCCCATTTCTGTTTCACCTTTCTGAAAACAGGTTTCTGTCTCTACCAGAGACTATGAAACAATGGCCTCTAATATCAGCCAATGGATTACTTCCCATCTTTATCTTGGACTCTGCAGCCTCTGGTTGATCCCTTACTAAAACCTCCTGTTTCTTAGCTTCTGGGATCTCCTGCTCCTGAATCTCCTCCTCCATAGACCTTCTCATTCTCAGTCCCCTTGCTGGTGCCTCTACCTCTTCCTGTCATTAAATGCTGGTGTTTATTACCCAGCTCTTCAAGCTCATGAGAAGAAATTTCATGGGCAGAGGAACCAATCTATTTTTACAGCCTTACCACCACCTGTATAGGAACGACCATAACCCATATTTCTAATTTTCAATTTCTTTTCTAATCTCTAGGACCAGATTTCTAACTATCCACTGATGTTTCCATTGGAAGGTCCCCTAGATTGCACTCAACATGTACCAAACTAAAAGCATCATCTTTTCTCACTAACTGGTTCTTCCTCCTGGATTTTTTTCTGCCAAAGAAAGGTACAACCCTCCACTCCAACAGCCAAGTCAAAGCCCCTCTCCTTCATGCTTCAAACTGCACAGATCACGATATTCTTCTGATTCTACCTCCCAAATCTCTCTTGCATTTGTCCACTTCTCACCATCCACTCACCCCTCCTCATTACCCTTGGCGGTAGACCTCCCAAGCTCTTGCTTAATAATCACAACAGCTTCCTGAGTTTCCTACTGCTGGGCCCTTTATTCTTCCATTTCATTTTCCAATTCCAGGGTAATCTTTCTTAAATGCAAATTTCACCTTCTCTTTAAAACTTTTACCTGGTCCCCTAGGCTTTCAGAATAAAATCCAAACTCTTCAGGCAGAACCTTGTATGTTATGGAATCCTTCTGGCCTCATCTTATATTCCTGTAGCTACATCATAATCTACAACCAAACTAATAATATTCCTTAAACATGCCATAGTTTCTCATGCCTTCTCATAGTGGTACATGCTAACCTCTGTCTAGAGGCTACCCTCCTAGGGAACTCCTACTCATCTGCAAGAACCAGAGGTGTCAGAGGTCACCTCTTTCATGCCACCTTCAGTAATTCTATCCCCTACCAGGGATAGTGGGCATTCCTATGTTCTCATTAGATTTTTCTATGTATTTGTCACATTGTAGAAACATTATCTGTCTGAGTGTCTGTTTCCTCAGATAATCTTTGAGATCTTTGGGGGCAGGGACTATGCCTCATTCATCTTTATATCTCCAATACCTGGCACAGGGACGAGCACCAAAGAGGCATTCAATAAACATGGGCTAGGACAAATAAGTAAATGCACCCTGGTTGTCAGGATGCCTAACTATAGCAGAACCTCTTTTGTGAAAGCAGCTATGTTAGCTTGATAGAATCGTGCTTGGAACCAGAGTACGTCAACCTGCATCAATAGCCTAGGGGCTCTCCTAAAAATTCAGCAGCTGAGCTGTAGGCTGCTCTTTTGAACTGCTCAGAGGCCCCCTTATTTATTTGCCAGGCCTTGGTCACATTTCCATTGGGGCTGTAAGAGCTGAGAGCTGGGTATGCATCCTGAGCTTGGGAATGTACTTTAGGTTCTGCCACCTTCTTTCTGTCAACTAACTACCTGGAGTCTGTAAGGGTTAACCTAGGCTCTTATTCAGAATGGAATGAAATTACAATCCTACAACGGTTAGTAGGGAAGAGACAGGTAGAGGTCTGTAAGCCCCACTGCTAGCCACGAGTTCCTTCTGGTGACATCTACTGACCCTGGGCCCCACCCAGTCTTCCTCCCTCTTGGCGGGGTCCTCTCTCAGAGCCTAGAAAGATTCTGTGTTTGTAAAAAGGAGGGTACTGAGAATAGTGAAGGCCAACATCCCAGATCCCCTCAACGCCAAAGACACTTACGCAGACCCACGGGTGTTTGAGAGCCTGGTCAGCTGTGATACGCTTTGCTGGGTTTATGGTAAGCATCTGGTTGATCAAGTTCTTGGCTTCAGGAGTCACCGTGTCCCACTCTGGTGATGGAAACTAAGGAGCAGGAATAGGGAGAGGAGGGATATGAAGTGTGTAAACCTCACATCCTGAAAGTAGGCTCTGTCTTCACCCCAACTCCTATAACTGGGACCCTCTGTGATCTAAAGCTGTACCAAGGGGTGGAAAAGCCCTGAGAATATCACACAACTTGTATCAACTTAAAAGATTGGGAAAGGAAAACAGAAAAATCATGGTTAAAATGCCAGAACGTCAGAGCAGAGCTGGAAGGGCCCCCTGGCATCTTCTGGCTCAACTCCATCTCTCCATTTAGGAGAAAATAGTGGCTCTGTGATGTACCCAATGTCTCACTGCAGTGGAGTAGGCTTCAGACTTCTCTTCCCTACATCGTGCGGGGCTGTTTTGCAGCACACCACAGTGCCCTTTTATTCTTTACAGATAATAGATCAAAGGGTTTCAGTGGGCTCCTTGTTTTTATAGCTACCAATAAAGGATGTTAAAAAAAAAGTTGTTCCCTGGGACAAGAGGTGGCAAGAACTGAGCCCTGTATGCCCCTCCCTGGGTCCTCAGAGTACCCTAACCTCCTCATATCACGTCACATACTAAACACACTGTCCCCTTTCTTGGACAGAGCCCAAGGGGTGGAAGTTCTGCCCTTCCGGCTTGGTGGCTCAGATCTCCAGTGAACCCGTCCTTACATCATAGGCTCCAGCCTTGATCTGCTGATATAGCTTGTGTTGATCCTCGTCCCAAAAGGGAGGGTATCCCACCAGGAGGATATACAGGATGACCCCTATGAGACAGAACACACATGTCACTAGGATCCGTCACCTACTTCCCTGAGGAACCAAGAAAAGCCACACAGGGCTCAGAGCCACCCAGAAAAGCAAGGGCCAAACCAGAGTTAGAAGTGGGAGGCAGCTGAAAATGCTGTATCCCTGACCTCCTGCTGTGCTCCATGCCCTGTGTCCCTGAGTCACTTTAGGGAGTTATTCAGGCACAACCCATCCTCCAGGGCATGGACAAACCATGCTCCAAGAAGGATGCAGCAGAATCCAGGAAGCTTTTGGGCTTGGGGAGGGGATGTGATGGCAGCAGCCATCCCAGGAGCACTGGAGCCAACACCATGATTTCACATGTATCAGACACTCATGGGCCCCACAAGGAATAGTGATGTCTTTTTCTCATCATTACTGAAGTCAAGAGCCCTTAACACTGACAAGAGGAGTGTGTGGAATGGGCTTACCGCAGGCCCAGATATCCACTGGTTTTCCATACGGATCTTTCCTCAAGACCTCAGGGGACAAGTAACCTGGGGTGCCAGCAAAACCTGTAGCAGGAGAGAGGACAGAGGCACACTGAACCTACTTTCCGTCTCATTAAATCCCCATTAGTAAATTCCCCTAAGTCTTTTTCTCCCTCCTGCTTTTTTTGCTTATAGGCTTTCAGCACACAGGCAGCAACAGATGGCAGGCTGGGCTTCTTCTATTGCCTGGAATCCAAATCAGAGGGCAAGTTCGCATGGCTTCCAGGAACTCCCAATTCCTCCCTGGAGATAGCAAGAATGCAGAGCCACAGTGCTGACAATAGCTAGACTCCACACTGAGTCATGTCAGGCCAGGAGTGATCTCTGCACCCTCCCCACACCTCTCCAGTGTCTCAGGAGGCCAGGACTATTAAGGGTCTGGCTTCTAGTTCTGCAAGAGGAAGGCCGATCAGGAAGAGGAGGAAGGGCGGGGGTTGCATTCCAGGAAGACAGGGTCACCCTTACCAAACCAAGCCTGCTGCTCTCCCTGCACTTCGATGGCCAGTCCAAAATCAGCCAGCTTGACAGCGGCACCCTTGCATTTACTCGCCAGCAGCAGGTTCTCTGGCTGCAGAACAACAAGAACCTTGTGAGCCACCCATCCTGGGGCCCAGGTCTAGATGGAGCCTAGTTTGGGCCCACGCAGTACCATTATCTGGCACCAGGTGGTGCCAATGCGCCACAAATGGGAGGCAAGGGGCAGGGTGCCTGGGTAGTACCTTCAGGTCCCGGTGGACAATATCATGCTGGTGGATGTGGTTAACACTCTCCAGAATCTGATGTATACAGTGGCTGAAAAAGCAGATGGAAAAGAAATGTCTGCAGGTTTAAGCTGACCTATCCATGACCACACACTGGAGGCTAAAGCACGTAAACCTGGGTCACAGGTCACAGGTTCACAGAGAATCACTGAAGAATGAGCTAGAAGGGACCTTGGACATCACCTAGTTCAACATCATTTTACAGATGAGCAAAGTGAGGCTCAGGCAGATTAAGTGGCTTGTCCGGGGTCACTTGCTAGGTAACAGCAGAGAGACTAGGATAGGGGTCTCACCATGCCTCCTATTAACTGCAGAAAGAAGATCAATACAACCAGTTAGTCTCCACGGTATCAGGAAATACTCCACACTCATGAGAAAGAAAAAACCATCCAAGCCCTTCCCACTTTCTCTTTTCCCCAACAACAACTTTGCTCTTGGAGAAGAGGTTTGTGGTGGCAATTAAGGAAGCAGAGTCCAACTAAGGCATCCATGCTGTTTTGGGAGTGGGTGCTCATGTTCATTCCTTTAAACCTTTACTGAGGCCCTATAAGGCACTGTGCTTGGAACACAAGATATAGAGACAAAAAAGACCCAGTGCCTGTCCTGAAATTTATCATCTAGTAAGGGAGATAAAACAGATAAAATCCTACACAGATGCCTTTAAGGGACAATGTACTTAAGAGGAGTCCAAACAGGGTACTTGAGGAGCATTTCTGATAATGTTTTTGTACAGAAAAGAGACAAACTAACCCAGGATCATATTCAGGGGCTTATTCTTGAGTAGGTCGCCCACCTTCCAAAACCCTCTGTTGCATGTGGAGTTCAAACTCCCAGCGATGAATGTCGGAAGTGTAGAGCAGTGGTTTTTCAGTGGGGAGGGGGTCAGGGCAGGGACAAAGATTTTGCCCTCAGGGGCAGCTGTCAATGCCTCGAGACATCTCTGGTGGTCACATGGGGAGAGGGTTTGCTACTTACATCAAGTGAGTAGACCAGGGATGCTGCTAAACATCCCAAAATGCACAGGACAGCTTCCACAACAAAAAATTATCCAGTCCAAAATGTCAATAGAACTGAGAGACTGAACAACCCTGGCCTAGAGAATGGGGCTACAGTCAGGAGCACATGGAGCAGCAGGCAGGGTGTCCAGGGGTGGTGGGCTGGGTGGTCTGGACTGACTATTCCTTTCTCTAAAATCTGATGCTGGGGCTTTCACAAGAGCCAAGGAGTCTGGGCCCCTGGGGGACTGAGGCTCAGGTCTCTCCATAGGACACAGCCGAAGAGTGGGCCAGAGAGATTTTGAGACTGGGCCGAAGAGGCGAGTCTCCACAGAAATGTATAATTAGAACAGAGCCGGGCAAGCAGGGAAAGCCTTCTGTCCAAAAATGGCAAAAATGCGAAGTGTCCCAGCAGAGTCAGGCCAAACCCACTGGTACAGTCCCCCTCCCCCTCCCCAGGGGCCCTGAGCTATCACCGCCTCCTGCGGCCTCCTCCCACCCTTGGCTTGGTCCTCCCTTGCTGGCACTGGAATTCATCTCCCCACTTGAGAATTTTTCCTGAGGCTGAAGCATCTGAAGTTGATCAGCACTCACTGGTCTCTTAGGCTAAGAAATTCGTGAGGAAGTTATACTCCCCCACTCTCCAGAGGCAGCCGGGGCTGCCACATAAGCCAGATAAGCTGCAGGCAGGATGATCAAAACCAGGTTGTAAGGACATCACCCTGAGAGAAAACCTGGGACCAGAGAAGGAGCCGAGGTGGGAAGGGCAGACCAAAGTAGCTCCTGACAGTAGTGGGTGGAGGAATTTTACTGCATCACAGGGAGGAGCTGCCAAGGCTTTCTGGGGCTGGGGGCTGGGGATGTAGTCAAGAGACAAGGTGATGGAGGCAGAAATCTCTGAGAAGACTCCAGTTGGACTACTGACCAGAGGTCTACACTCCTCAGGGCAGAAACCATGTTTTCTCCATCTCTGGGTTGCCCCTAGCACCTCAGCTCAGTGCCTTACACACGCTGCTGTTGTCTGTTGCCAGCGAGTCAGCTGCGACTCATGGTGACCCCATATGCACAAGGTAGAGCTGTTCCATTGGGTTTTGTGCCACCAGGACTCATCAAAGGAAAGAGGGGGGCAAGGAGAGGCCTTGGGCGAGCTCCAGAATAGATAGGAATGCAAAGAAAAGGTATTTCTGGAGGTGACAGGGTAAAGGAGCTTCTAAGAACTTTGTAAAAAATTGATCTGGGAATGCTGAATTTTAACTTCTAATATGACCCACAGAACACAGCCCTGATCCAGCTCCACAGAATCTTTCTCCCGACAAGAGTTCTTCTAATCTTCCCCGCAGACTATTCAAATAGGCACCATGCCTGGTCCCCTACAGAAGCCAAGGTTTATTTCAATCCAAAACCTCTGATCTACACTTGAACGAGGTGGCCCCTTGCCTCACCTGGCATCAGCTTCACTGTAGTACTCTCTAGCCACAATGTCTTCAAACAGCTCTCCGCCAGTAACACTGCAACCAACATAGGAAGATGGTCAGAGGAGGTGAGGCTCCGGGGTCCAACTCCAGCGTCCAACCAGGTAACAGTGGCAACACAGAAATATCTTTGGAGAAACCCCAACTTTACACACATTTTGTCTGAGAGTCCACAATACATTGGATCCTTCAGTTACACGGGGCTCCTACCATAGGCTATCATGGGCCCTCTTTTCCTCCTGGACAACTCTTCTTCTATAACCTACAGATTACCTAATACTCAGGCAAACACAAAGATATGGAGATCTAAGAGAAAATAACCAACTATGCAGAAATAATAGCTTCTTTGAGGCCAATGTGAATACTAAGCTATGGCTACCCATGGAGGACAACTAAAGTTGAAGAATAATGAGACCAAAGACACAGAGATTCAACCCTGACAATGTTGGAGAGAGGAGTTTCCAGGTGGTGAAGAACCACTCTTAAGGTATTAAACCACAACCAAAGTGGAGGAGAGACCAATTGGAGCCCAGTTTACAACTAATAAAAGCGACCTTTGATTTCCCAGAACTGGTAAGGTCACGCAAAGAGCCGTATTCTCTAGTTCCACTAAGTTAGTTTACCAAGAAACAAGAAAAAAGCATCTGCACAAGGTGTGCTATGGAACAGAAACGTTAGAGCAAGGCCACTGCTGGGATTCTGAGCCCCAGGGAGACACCGAGGGAGCAAGGAGACCCCCTCAGGGGCTTTGGGCAAGCAACAGTGCCCAATTACCGGGAAGTTCAAATCAGATCTTTCTCTTAGGCAAAGGAGAAGGCCCCTTGGCCCAGGCTGCAGACCCAGCTCAGGCCTCTTTCCAAGCCTTCATCTTGAGCCAGCTGGAGGGAAAGGCCCCCACACCCTCAGAAAGTGGCACTTACAGGTCAAACACCAGGTAGTGAAACCCTTCTTCAGAAATACTGTCATGGAGGCGCACTGCAAGAGAGGAGAGGGGGACAGAGATTAACAGAGAGAAAATGCAGAAATCCTGCCCCTTTCCTCCTCAGCGGCCCACCCCCATCCTGGCCTGTCAGCCTCACTGAAGGAGTAGTTGCGAGAAGCAGTAGTATGTCAACACCCCTCAAGTCCAAGGCTACATGGCCAGGGAGGGAGAGATGCACCCAGATCCCCATCGCTCACCACCACCTCAGACTGCCTCAGATACAGGCAAGAGATAAGCTTCATGGATAACAAATAAGGAAAGATAAAGAAAAGCAGAAATTCTCAGAAGGACTAGTCCTCAGGAAGGGGGTCCAGGGATAATGACACAAGACAGTGAAATACCTAGCACCTCAGTGGGATGGAGAAAGACCAGATAGAAAGCCTGAGAGCTCCCTCAGAAAAGAAAATGTGAACAAGGAGAGCAATTCCACTCCCAGGGATAAATCCCAAAGGCAAAAGCAGGCACTCAAGCAGACACATTTACACCAATGGTCACGGCAGCACTATTTGTAATAACCAAATGGCAGAAACAACCCAAATGTCCATCAATAGATGAATGGATCAACAACATGGAATATTAGTCAATCATAAAGATAAATGGAAGTTCTGATACATGAAACAACATGAACAACATAACCTTGAAAACATTATGCTGAGTGAAATAAGACACAAAAGAACAAATATTCTATGATCCCACTGATTTAAAATATCTAGAGTAGCAAATACATAGAGACTAAAGTTTATTAGTAGTTACCATGCAAGAAGAGAACGGGGAGGTATTGCTTAAGGTGCACAGAATTACTGTTCAAATGAAGAAAAACTTTTGGAAATGGATAGTGGTGGTGGTGGTGGTAGAAAAATACAGTAAATATAATTAATGTCACTGAATTGTACATTTAGAAATAGTTCAAATGCCTAGAGGGAGCGAGTAGTTGGACCTGTGGGCTCACGACCATAGTCACAGGGGACATTGAGCTCAATTGGCATAACATACTACACAAAAACATTGTTCCACATCCTACTTTGGTGAGTAGCAACTGGGATCTCACAAGCTTGCAAGCGGCCATCTAGATGCAACAATGGGTCTCTCTTTGTCCAGAGCAAAGAAGAATGAAGAAAACACAAGGCACATGGAAACAATTAGTCCAAACAACTGGTACACTATGCAATACTCAGCCTACATGACTATGAGACCAGGAGATCTAGATGGTGCCTGGTTACCACTGTCAACCACTCAGAGGGGGATCTATGTAGGAGATCCTGGATAGAGTGGGAGAACAACGTGGAATAAAACTCAAAATCATTAAAAAAAAAAAAAAAAAAAGAACCAGGTTTGCTGGTCTGATAGAGCCTAATGGAACCACTGAGACTATGGCCTGTAGCTACCCTTCAGGTCTGGTATTGAACTCACTCCTGTGGCTTCCAGCCAAACAAAAAACAGGCATATGAGCTGAACATTTACATTAGGTAGATACACTCTTCAGAGAGATCAATCATGGGAGAATAGAAGGTCTGTGTATGCACAGGCAGACAGCTGGGGTGGGGGGGAGGAGTGCATGGGAGGGAAAGACACAGGGAAGAGGTAACTGTGGGGAGGAAGTGGGAGGGGAGGTGTTGTATTATGGGAAATTACAGTCAATGTCATGAGACAAAGTGTGTATGAGCTGCTGTATGGAAAGTGAATTTGGTCCGTAAACTTTCACCCAAATCACAATTAAAAAAGAAAGAAAGAAAGAAACAGTTCAAATGGGGTGGGGGAGAAGTACACAGGAGAGTTAATAAGAGGGGAAGAAGGTGGAAAGGCAGGGCCTGGTATGTGAAGTGAGGATGACAGGGGGCTGGATGGTGAGCCTGAGAAGGAACGATGCAGTCAGAGGACAACAAAGGCAATGGCAAGTTGTGTATATTCAGTGCTTACTATGTGCCAGGCCCTACGTTACATATATTACAGATTCCACTAGTATTTACTGAGTGCCTACTGTGTGCTGGACTCTGCTAGGTGATAGGATTCAGGAAGGTCAGACAGAGCCCTAGCTCCAAAGAGGCCATTATTCTGATAACCACACTGAGATGAGAGCTAATCCCATTACACAGATGAGGAAACTGGAGGCTCAGAGACATAGCGTATATTGCCAAAGGTCAAAGGGCTTCTAAATGGTGGGTCACATTGTGAACCCAGATCCACTAAAGACCAAGACAGTCTACATACCTGTTTCCTAACAGGAATGTGGGGCAGCCATATACCCAGGCAACAAAGCAACAAAACCAAGACAGATTGCTAATGAATGTGCCTATGACAGCATCACAGATCTCCCAGACGGCACCACCACATGGAGGAGACTAGAACCATTTACCAACTGCAAGAAAAGGCTGGCAAGCTGGAGCCCTTCCCACTCCCTGCCCCCAGAGCTCTTAGGCAAAACACCAACCTAATGTCTCCTGAGGTCTTCTCTTCAAGCTCTTGCCCACAAAGCCACCTCTGGGTTAAATGCCAGCCTCTAAGTATCATCTAATGCAAACACAACCTGATGTTTGGATGCCTTGGCCAACTGTTCCCACAGTGCATCTCTTCCCTCACCTGAACCCTCCTGATGGGGAACGTCTGTTCCAAAGGGCTCCCCCTGTTTGATATTTAATCCAAATCCTTGGAGGTTCAGGAGCACCTCGAGGACGACTTAAGGAATGGCCCATCACCAAAGCAACTGGTAAAGTTCTTAGATATGAAGAAATTACCCTGGCTCTGACCAGTGGTGTCACTCGGGGGGAGGCCAGGGGGGAAGGTGCAGACCATATCGGGTGACACTGTCAGAGGGAGTAAGGAACTCTGGTGGCATAGTGCTTAAGGCATTTGACTGCTAATCAGAAGGCTGGTGGTTCAAACCCACCAGCCACTCTGTGGAAGGAAGACTGGGCAATCTACTTCTGTAATGATTTACTGCCTTGGAAACCCAAAGGGGGCCACTATGAGTCGGAACTGACTTGATGGCAGTGAGTTTGGTTTGGTTTTTTGAGTCAGAGGAGGTGACACCAAAATGACTGTCTATAAAATTTTTGTGTAGTGTTTCAGCAGAAATTTATTATTTTTAAAATAAAAATATCCCTGTTTTTTTTTTTTTTTTTAAATGAAAAATAAAGACACCCCTGTAGTTAGCTATAACAACAAAAATATTTTTTGTAAGCCCAGTTTACACGTATCAATATACCTATGAGGTGAAAACTCTGTGGTCATTTACTCTGTGAACCTTTTACTGTGCTCCAATCAGAACTGTCATTATTATCTAATTACAATGACACTTTGAATCACGCGGCTTTGTCTGCAGGAGGTATAAGCACACACTGTTTTCATTGCTGCCAGTGTTTTTATAGTTTATAGCAGCTGATTTTGTCAAATGTTCTGGTATTTTGGCTACAGTATTGTAGTAAGTAGGAGCTCTGGTGGTGTAGTGCCTAAGGCATTTGACTACTTACCAGAAGGCTGGTGGTTCAAACCCACCAGCCACCCTCTGGAAGGAAGATGGAGCAATCTAATTCTGTAGAGATACTGCCTTGGAAACCCGAGGAGGGCTCACTATGAGTTGAATCAACTTGATGGTACTGAGTTTGGTTTATTAATTTTTTTTATTGTAGTAAGTAGTATATGTGAAACTATGTCAATAACTATTTTAAGAATGAAATAGTAATTAAAGGAAAAGAAAGAGAAAAATAAAAAATGGCTTCTGCTCAGTTACCACTACTGTTGTAAGTAATGTTTTAATTAAATATAGAAAGATTTTACCAAACAGTTTCATTGTTAGTATCCATATAATCTAAGAAATATTACGTGTAAGCAATTTCCAATATATTTATCACATATTATTCTATAATTAAAATTGATAACAAATATTACTAAGGATTCTGTATGGTCTGGTATGGGAAAAAGTCCATGGGGAGGGGGAGTGACACCATGAGATACTGCACTGGGTGACACCAACCCTAGTGACGGACTGTCTCCTCCTTAGCAGGCCAGGACTGCCAACCACACTGACCAACAGCTTCATTCTCACTGATAGACAAACTACCTCCCACCAAAGCAAAATCAGTGCACTGTGGAATATACAGCCCATGCAACTGGAGGCACTTCCCATCTCTATAACCCTGTGTTGTTCCACGCTTGCCAAATGAGGAATCGGAAGCCTGCCAGGGCTGGAACCAGGTCCTAACAACTGTTTACATTTCATGTTGCCTACCTTATTTGAGCTGATCTGGTTACTCATTCCCACAATTCCCTGCCAAACTCAGTACGTCTATGATCTACCAACAGTGTCAAAGGGAGGCAACTCCTCTCCTAATACCCCTGTACCCTCAAATTGTTCTCCCCTACACTCGGGCAAGCAAGCTCATGCTTTTCTAGGCTTGCAGATGATAGAGGAGGACTTTCAGGGCAGATGGAAGGAGTGACAACCCGACTCCTGCCTCTCTCACCAAAACCACCTCAGCATGCACAACCAAGCTACCACACAGCCCTGCCACCCTCCCTCCGTGTCATGCCTCTCTGGTCTCAGTGCCTCACGCTGAGTCCTGCTGCAGCTGCTGCTCCCTTGCTTCCAAAAGGGCTTTCCATTTAATTAAAAATTTGCTATTAAAAAGCATTAAAGTGTGTAATACAAATAATCCCCTGGAAATCAGCTGTCCCAGAAGCTAAAGACCAGCTTCATTAGGGAGGTGACTAACAGCCACAGGATGGTGAGCTAACAGGACAGCAGGTACGATGCTAACAACCGCTCCCAGGGGAGTTCAGCCGCCCAGCCCTGCCCAGGCCTGGCCGTGAGCCCAGACTCACTCAGCTCCCCTAGGCACACCACTCCCCTCCCAGCACAGCAGGGCAAAAGGCACAGGCACCTATGTCTATGCCTAGACATGGAGACTTTGGCTAAAAGAAATACCCTCGTTCCATCCTTCTCCTGGAAGGCCACACACACAGCTCAGGTGGGAGGAGGCCTGGGGAGCTGGGAATT